CCGGTGACTTGCTTGGCTTTAATTTCGTAGCCTAGAAAAGAAAACAGTTTTCCTTAGACAGGAGATACACAACATGCAGTTTGGAAAACATGAATTCAAGTATAATGGTAAGAAGGTTTGAAACCTATTCGACAATTTATGATCAAAATATACCCTTTCTGTAAGTACAAATTTGAAGACGGCGTAGTTTTCTACAAGAGAATTACGGGATGGAATAATTTTGCTAATGTTTTCTGCAAAGTGTATTTGAATTTGTAAGGGTACTGAAAATCAGTGAGTTAAATGCATACCACTTAAGTAGCCATTTTTACAGAACATACTTTGTGTAAACGGTCAGAAAGGAGCTCTTTAAAAAGCCGGCTCCTTGACGTAAGTGAAAGGACTTGAGATTAGGCTGCACGATAATCAGTATTACAAACATACTTAACACCCGGTTGGCGAGTGATTATCAATCTTTAGTAAATTTCGGCATTTTGCATGAAATACCGGTCGTACTGTACTTCTGTGGCTTAACCTTCACAGTCACCCTCTGGACATCAGTTAAGCGCGAACTCCGTAAATCTCGGCGTTTTGCATGAAATACCGGTCGTACTGTACTTCTGTGGCTTAACCTTCACAGTCACCCTCTGGACATCAGTTAAACGCAATATAAAGGGAATTTCTGAGTCTGTTTATACCTTTTTGTTAGGGCAAATGCAACAACTCTCATCAAACCTTACTGAAGATCCTAGAGATAGGGATACGTTGCTATCTAAATTAATGCGTCTGAAAAGTAATGTGCCTGTTACCTAGTTTCGTCAGGATAATTGGTGGAATTCTGTGACCTTGTCCACTGAATAATAGGCCATTTGGTTCTTCAATTCTTTCTGTTGTACCGTAATAAGCAGACATGGAATGTCATCGGGCCTATGCGGCTGGCAAAGTTCACTGTGGCACCCTGCGAAAAGGAAACAAGATTGTAACAAAAGGAGAGTTGGGGGTTAAGTCCTGTCTTGCAGTCGTGTAAATCTGCCGATGTACTCTTTTCTATCAAATCTCATTTAACATGTTACCGATAGATTTGGAATGAGAGACGTTGTTAGAACCCAGAGGCTGCAAAAGGAAGTGTAAGCGTCCTCTTCGGGATTGACCGATTCTTGAGACTGTCACAGCAGCTTGACTAAGGCTAAAACCGATTATCCCTTTTTGAGGTACTTTCATTTACTCATTGGTACGCAAATTAAGTTATTTACTCCCATATGTCTTACCGCCGTGTTCCTGATCGATTTATTATTTCTTGGCTTGGATTTACAGAGGCTCTTGTTCCGAAGATTAAAAATAACAGAAAACCTCATTATATAATTTCAACGTGTCTTTCAGAAGTTTCTCCGTTGTCTCCGACGTTAGTATGTCATGCGAAAGCTCAAAGGTAGCGCCAGTCAACTCTGCCACCCC